AAAAAACTAGGAGCAGGGAAACATGGGTTTTTAGATAAAACTTCTATAAGTTTTATGAAGATGTTTTATAAGATGGAGGAGAATTGAATTATTTTAATTCATATATTCACTCTTCAAATTTTTGAGACCACCTCAATACTGGCACTGAGTATATATGTGGTGAACAAAATGTCTTCTTTCCCTCTGAAACACAGATATATATGATAATGTATGTAGGTGTTGTTAGGTGCTGTTGGGTTGGTTCCGACTCATAGCGACCCTGTGTACAACAGAACGAAACACTGCCCAGTCCTGTGGTGGTCCATGTCCGTGGGGGTTAGAGGTGGGTGAGTGGAGGGTTGTGTGCAGTGAGAGAGCCTGGGAGTCTGTAGGAGGTATTGGGGGTGAGCAGCTCACCTGGAGCATTGAACCACTCTGAGGAAGAAAGCACATTGAGGGGGCTGGAAGTTCGCAGTGGCAAGAGCCTTAGCCGCTGGGCAGGTAGGCTGTCAGATAGCTGTTGGGCTGGTACCTAAAGCCTCTGGTCACTTGGGTGGTCACAAAGCCCAGCCCCCAGACCGGCCCACTGCCAACCACGTTGCTGCCTCCTTGGCTAAAGTGGGGTCCCCCTTTGCCCACGATCTTGGTCTTATGCCAGGCCAGTACCTGTAGTCAGGGTAGTCATACAGGTGCCAGGCCTGGAGCTGCTTAGTCTCTTCCATGAAGGGCCACTTCTGGTCCTCGCCTAATGGCTTCCACCGTGCCCCCAGGCTCTTGGAGATCTTGGAGTTATTCATCTTTAGGTTCTACTGCACCATCTGGCAGCGCTGTGTGGAGCTCCACACCATGAATGCATTCATGGGCCACTTCACTTTCTCTAAGGGAAGCCTGATGAAGATCACTGGGCTGCCCATACCCTCTGGCTCCTGATACCCCAAAGATGAGGAGGAACGGGCCATGGGAGCAGGAAGTTCTAGGTTTCAGGCCTGGTCCTGTGAAGAACAGGCTAGTGACATGAGGGATGGGGGGTTGGGAGAAGCCTTAAGACGGCCTACTGAATGCCCTCCCTTCCAGAGTGAACCACTGATTCCAACATATGCAGGCAGGGGACAATAATTGAATAATTGAAGGAGTGAAGAGCCTGAGGAAGTGGAAGTAGGGATCATTTAAAGGCCCAGATAGTAGATTTAAAGCCAAGTTGGACAGATTAGCTTTAGACATGAAGGAGTACTCCTTTGTATCTGGACACAAGAAAAAGAGGATGAGAATTTTGAATATCGTAGACCGTCATGTAGATTAATACAAGTATATTATGGAAGATACAGAAGAGTAAGATTTGAAATGCAGGATATAAAAATTGTAGTAAAATCTAGAGTATAAATCTTGATAGCATCCAATTGAATTAACTCATACCTTCAGATTTAGTTACCATTGTAATACCAGCAATTGGCTATACCAGGTTATTGTGTACTTCTTGGTAAGCACAGAGGCCAGACAGCAATAGTGACTATAAAGACAATAAAAACTTGGAAACCTAAGTGTGCTCTAAGGAGGAAGACAGAACTCCACTCCCCAAAATCAAGAGCTCAAGAGACAATGTTTAGAGAAAGGAGCAGTGTGTAGTAAGAACGTAATGGTATCTGAGATCCCACTAGGGAATCCACTCTAACTAGCACCTTGCCCAGGGGAATATTCCATCCCAAGATTCCCTTACATGACCAAGAAATCAGGTGGTTTCATGCAAAATTTCCACATAGTAAAACAATGTTTTAACACCACAGCTTTGCCATCTGTAAAGTAGGATATGGGGATTCACCAATAAAGAAAGGTAGACAATTATTATATGATAGAAAGAAAATAGAAATACACCCACTGCTCACTTACTGACATGATTAAGTTCCAAAGACCAGGTCGTTACGCGAAAATCAGCATTATGTGAAGATGGAGGATGACCACGTCAGATCGTAAAATGGAGGATGACTACATCATTACGTAACTGTCAAATTATATTACATAACTGCCAAATTATATTATTACATAACTGCCAAAC